AAAAAAAAAAAAAAAAAAAAAAGACAGCCCCATGGTTGGGCCACGACCGAGATGTCTCGGCCACACCCCAATCTGGCCATGATCGAGATGTCTCGGCCACACCCCAGATTAGCCACGGTCGAGATGTCTCAGCCACAACCGAGATTCGCAGGTACTAGTCTTCACAGGCAAAAGCGAAATAGTTTCAAGAGTAGCCTACTTCGAAGAAGTGGGGGGCTCGGGGCAGGGATGGAGGCCAAAAACAGAAAAAGAAAAAAGAAGAAATAAAAAAGTAAAGAAACGAGGAACTTCGAATCCACCTACGTCGGGAAGGCCCTCACCTCACCAGTGCTTTGAGGAATGTATCTGGCCAGGAAGTGAGGAACATGAAACAGGCCGTTTCCTTTTTTGTTTCTTGTGTGAGGTCCTTGTAGCGCCCTTCCAGCCACGCAGGGCGGATTCCACGCGAGGCAGCTAACTGCCTCGCTTCATTCAGTTCCAGACAAACACTGCAGCATCCTGTATAGGACCGCAATCACAACATAAGGGATGTTTTTTTTTTGTTTTTTTTTTTAATCTGCTGTTCGTGGATAGACGAGGGCCCTGACTGAACTGCGCAGCCCGAGTTTCAATTGCAATTGGAGCTCAGGCCCTGACTAAATTGCTAAATCGCAATTTCAAATGCAATTACCAACTGCTTTCGTGACTGCGCCATAGTTACCCCAAACTGCATTTGTGCACACCTCTTGAGGTGCTCGCAAATTGCGTACCCCCCGGCCGGGCAGGCTGGAGATTTTGCGTACACATTTTTGTCATTTGCTAGCAGGCCCTCACATTGTCACGCAGTGGCTCAGGTCTTTGTTTTGATTGTTGACGTTACTTTTTGATGAATGATCTAACTTCTTCTTCTCCCCCGACTAGCCCGGGTCATCTTTTTGTCACCTGTCCTGTTTTGATTATTGACGTCGTTTTTTTATGAATGATCTTTCAAAGTTGCTGTGTTTTTCTACATCTACTTCGATTCACGAAGTAACCTCCGTAGGAATTAAACTACGTGATTATGTGGCTTCGACATATTGTTAGGTACTTTTTCTTTCGTCTTTCACGATGGCGTCTAACTTTCCCTCATCATCTATTGTTTGTACTTGCTATAACTATGGCGATCCTAACCATTTCCTTCCGTGGTGTCCTCACCCCCCCCGTCAAAATCATTCCAGTTCTGCTCTTGTTTTTGTATCTACTCCAATTCTAACTACTCCTGCTAGCGCTATTGCGTCCTCGTCTGCAATTGTTCCACATGTGGTAGGTGGATACCTGAATACTTCGAATTATGCCAAGGGCAACGGCTGGCATCAGGCAAGAGAGCGGCTAGAGTATCTTGAGAGTACCGTGGCTGTCATCAAGGTCAGACACGACGCAGAGATCGAACGGAAAAAGAACAAGCAAGCCGAGGAAGATCGTATCAAATCAAGAAAGAGAAGGAGGACGAAGAGAGAAGAGCAAAGGATAAGTTGGAGAGAGAAGAATTGAACAAGTCAATGATGGACAACATGAAAAAGAGATTGGATACCGTTTGCTTAGCACTATTCGGCAAAAGGCTGGACGAGATTGAGGTGTTGCACAAGTCGGAGGTGTCTCGTGTCACCGTACCGATAGTGAAGGCTCAGACCGGTGACAATGTGCTCGCCAAAGTAATGGCGGAGCAGGAGAGGATGAAGGTTCAGCTTGAGGAGGCTGCAACTGCTAAAAGACGCTTGGAGAAAATCGAGAAGGAAATGGAGATCCTTCGGCAAGCTCGAGACGAGGCAAAAATTGAAGCCGAGGCATGGCGACAGGAAGCAATTCGACCTGGTTCCAAGCGGGGTTGTGTGGCTTTGTCCACCCCCAGTGCCCAGGCAACGATGCTGCCTCGGTTCACGCCCACCAAGACTCCGGCGGCACGAGTTGACTATAAAGAACTTAAAGAGCTGCACCAGATGGAGGTTGACAAACTCAAGGAGCTTCGATTGTTGGAACTCAATGGGAGGAGGGAGGCAGAGCAAGAACAAGAGTTTGCGAAGCAGAAGATTGTTGAGATGGAAGCTGGCAGAACGGGTCATATTCCGAGATCTAATCTCAGGGAACGATTAGATGAGGTCGTTGCAGGTTCGGGCAAAGGAAAGAAGAAGAGTGTTACACAGACTCCGATTCGTTTTAATGATCGAGAAGCTTTTATTAAGGAAACGCGAAAATCAATGTCGCAAACCAATGACAAGTTGATGGTAATTTGTGTTGAAGAAGGTATTAAACATGTCACCATAGGACAGAGCATCGATGAGATTGTGGCTCAACGTGTTTTGCAGGTTCTTCCTCCTGCAACTATAGATTCAATTGAGGTTTTCGATGACTTGGCTGGAAATGGTTCATCTAAGGAGGCCGGGGGAGATTCAACTGCTTTCTAGAATCTCTCCCGGATGCGGCTATACTTTGGGCGGTCCTGCGACGATGCTGCCGTTTGCGTTCCTCTTCTGTCTCTTTACTCCGTTGCCAGGAATTGAACTCTTTCTTGCAGGTGGTGGTGATTGCGTTGATTTTATCTCGTTGTATCCCGTGGGCTTCTAAATTTAGACAATGTATTTTGGATGCTTGGCGCTCCGATTGTGACCGTGATGAAGGACCTTTAGTATACCTCCTAGTATCTCCTTGGTGCAGGCACGTGTATATTGGTAGCACCGGTCGGGACATTCACACAGGATGGAATGAGCATGTTTACCGGACGTGTAATCCTAATCTTATTTCAAAGGGAACTCGCAATGAGCGCTTGTATGGGTGGCTTTGACGCAGTGGCATTGAACACTATGTAACTATTCCGGTATGTTTTTGTTCTTCTGCTGATTTATTGAAAGTGGAATCTGTTTTCATACGAAGGTCTGGTGCCTCTCTCAATTCACGAGGACGTGTACGTAAACCTCGAAGACGACGACCAGGGAAACGCGAGCGTAGGAAATCTTATGTGCGGAGTGGTGAGGCTCCCTCTCTGATCCCTCATGCGGTGAAATCTCTCGCTTCTTTTCTTCCTTTTTTTTCCTCTTCTTCTTCTTCTTCCTCTTCTTCTTCTTCTTCTTCTTCTTCTTCTTCTTCTTCTTCTTCTTCTTCTTCTTTTTTTTCTTCTTTTTCTTCTTCTTCTTCTTCTTTTTCTTTTTCTTCTTCTTCTTCTTCTTCTTCCTCTGATTCCTCTTCTTCTTCGACTCTACTTTCCGCTCCGTTGACTTTTCATTCATCAACCGGACTTTCCTCTGTCAGCTTACTTGATATTCTCAACTCAATTGTTAAAAATAGTGTTGATAGTATTGCTGTTACATGTCACGGTGGATCTTTGTTCACTGATAATTGGAAGGTGCTCAAACGATCTTTTGGGAATTCTATTGTTTCTTGTGGCTGTGGACAAGATCTACTTCGTCATCCCCGCAATTTGTTCAAAGATGGTTCAGTTGTTATCTTTCGATCTATCGTGTCCTATATTTGTCGAGCGCTTTCTTTCAAACCCCTACTTGTTAATCTTCTCAGTAATCCCTCTTCACGGCGACGACTGATGACTTGGAACCTCGAACAATTGATACTTTCTTTCTCTCCTATTCGGCTCTTCCAGGAGAAACATACGCGTTTTCGGCTTCGACTTATTCTGTCTAAGGCTATTTCTTCTCGGTTTGACCTTCCTATTCGCCGACGCGTGGTCGTGAAGATTACATATGATGATGCGCTTTGCAAAACGGAAATTTCGGAGAATTTTTGTTGAGCTTATTCGGCAACTTGATATCGATGAGGTCTGGAAACTTGTGCTTATTCGGAGGTTACGAATCGTTTGGCGGAAGAATCGTACCATCGGTAGTTTCCTGCATAATTTTCGCTCGTTCTCCCGTACTCCCTCCCATGTTTGCTTCTGTACCTCCCTTGATCAGTCCTTTCCACGTAGTTGTGAGCATGTTGCCTTCCGTCTGAGCGAGGTCGATTTCTTTCCTGAGTGGTTGTCAAATTCTCGCAATATCATCAAACCTTCACAGTATTCAATCATTGGTGATCTTCGACTGCAGCTGGTTAAATCGTTCCTTTCCATCCCGCAACTCTGTTTCCCAGCACGACACCCTCTGCTTGGTAACAAATCACTGTCACGCTGTATATCTTCCGATATCTTACTCTTCTTCTTCCTACTCTTCTTCTTCTTCTTCTTCTTCTTCGTCTTCTTCTTCGAATTCTTCTTCTTCTTCTTCTTCTTCTGCTTCTTCTTCTTCTGCTTCTTCTTCTTCTTCTTCTTCTTCTTTTTCTTTGTCTTCCTCCTCGTCTCTCTTGGGACCTTCCTCTTTACCTTGTATGGTCGATTCGATCCTGGCTCTTCTTGTCCACATTAAAGGCTTGGTTCGCTGTCTTGTCGATCACAATCCGGGCGATACCTTTGTTTGCTGCCCCAGTGTTTACAATAACGGTATGAGCAAGTTGTTTACACAGAATCCTGCCTTTCTTCGTGTTGATGCGGTTAAGGCAAGTGTTGTAGTAGACTGTCGTAACGATTTCAAAGTTGTCAAGTTTGACCGTATAACAGCCATTTCGTCAAAACGGACATATTATATTTTTTGAACGAAATCAAAACTGATTTTTTTTGCCAAAATCCGATCAGAATTTTTTGCTCTTGGGGGTCCAAAACGCCGGACCCCCCTGGTCTATGGTTAAGACCAGATACAAAAAATAATAATAATAATAATAATAATAATAATAAAAAATTGTATCTGGTCTCAACCATAGACCAGGGGGGTCCGGCGTTTGGGAACGCCGGACCCCCATGATAAAAAAATTCCGACCAGATTTTGGCAAAAAAAGTCAGTTTTGATTTCGTTCAAAAAATATAATATGTCCGTTTTGACGAAATGGCTGTTGTATCGCTAATTGGGGCAAACGTGGGGATCTTGGCGATGCTTATTGCATACCCAAGCACAAGGATGTTACTTGGTGGCGACCTATCTACCCTACTTTTGCTGAAGGAGGTGTTGCATGCAGTCGTAAGATGGCCTACACACTAAACAAGATGATGTGGCAGTTACCTGACGGTTTTCACTTCAATTTGAAACGTACCTCTTACTTTGTCTCGCGCATCGTATCGATCAACAAGAATATGAGGACTGGCGAGCGGCTAATGGGTGCATCTTTTGATATTAAGGAAATGTTTTCTAACCCACAATATCCTTCTATTTTGACTGTTGTACGATGGGTAACTGACTACTGGTATGGTGAAGCATACTCTGGCATCCTGGTTCGTTCGCAAGGTAAGCGTGCTAGATTAACGAAAGGACGGGGAGAAAATGGTTGGGTTCTTGTTAAATTTAATGAAGTTGTTCGGTTTGTTTCCTATGAGCTGGATCACACCTACGTTGTTGCTGCTGGACTGCTGTTGAAACAAATGGTGGGCATTCCAATGGGAAAAACGACCAGCCCCGCGTTTGCGTGTTTGCTTTGTGCATACAACGAGTTCTGTTTTCTATCTTCCTTGGGCATTGATCGGAAGTTGGTCTACGGTTTTCGCGTCGTTGATGACGTCTTGATCTTTGTTAAATTTACTTCTTCTTCACCATCTGGCCGGGATCGGGCACAATCTATCATCTCTCGCTTCCGTGGATGCTATGACTCTAATCTGGTTCTGGAGCAAACTAATGTTGGAAGTTGCTGGGATTATATTGGGTGCGTGGTCAAGGTTTTTTCTGACAAGGTGGTCTATTTTGCCACGCATAAAAACCAACGTGGTATTCTTGAGCATGGCTTGGTTTTCCAATCAATTCACGATTATAGTTCCTACTCTAGCCGACAACAGAAAATGGTTGTCATCATCTCCTTTCTTCATCGTGCTCGAACCTTCTCTTTTGTACCAGACACGGAAATTGGTGTTTTGCTGACCCTGAAGCATGAACTATGGATGAGGGGCTACCCCGACTGTTTTTTTGATTCAGCTCTTGTGAACTTTTCGAGGAAGCATTCGTGATGTTGGGATCATTGGTTGATGAGCTTGACAAAATGGGACAGGTGTTCTTCGAGGCTTCGTGCAAAAGCTACTTGATCTGGTTGACTTCGCAGCGCGGTAGCTGCGTTTTTTTGTATTTTTCGTACTTTTTGCTTTTGTATCAGAATGGTATACTGTCTTTGACCTTTCAAAATTGTGGGTCTCGAACTTGTGACCATTGGCTCTCTCTTTTCGATTAGAGCATTGTCGTTTGAGTTTCGATTTGTTTGGCTGGGAGTCTCGATCGGCTGACTTGCGGGACCTGGCTACTTGGACTTTAGTGTTTTCTCGGTTCGACGATGGGTTCAAAACTTGTAGCAGTTTGCCTAGTTTTTTCAGTCCTTACCTGGCCTGTTATTTTTTCTACCTTCGTGACGATGGCTCAAAGTTGTGGATTTCCTTTCTAGTTGAGATTGTGGGGTTGTTTCGGTAGGCCTTGACGTGAAGAGTTGGGCTTTGGACTAGGTCCCTTTGTGGGACTACGGAACTTTAGCCGTAACTTGTAGTTTCCTTTAGGGTCTACTTTTCATCGTCCAGCGCACATATATACGCAGTCGTCGAGTTTCACGCTACACTTGCACGACGACAAGACCCCTAACGAGGTTGGTTGGCGGACGAACCGAAACTAGTCGGGTCCTACCGCCATGCTTCATTGATGTATCTTACGTCGCGTTCGGGTTTGTTTTTTTTTCTACATCTGCATATTATGTTTTCTTCGTTATCTCTTTCTCTTGTCCTATATTCTAACTTCTTCTTCTCCCCCGACTAGTCTGGGTCATCTCTTTGTCACCTGTCCTGTTTTGATTGTTGATGTCGCTTTTTGATGAATGATCTAACGAAGCTGCTGTGTTTTTCTACATCTACTTTTCTACATCTACCTCACATTGTGACCCCGAACTATCACAGAATCTGTGATATTTGCGACAAGTGTGAGTATGCCCTCAGGGCCTCGCCACACCACTCTCGAAACGGGGAAATTTTTCAAGAGCTGTCAGACTTTTTCGAGAGTCGGGTTTTCGAGAGTTGAGGCGCCTTCGCCACACCACTCTCGAAAGGGCGATGGTGTTGGACAAAGAATGCAAAACAACAGTCGTACAGCTTTGTTTTTTTCCGAATGGTCTCAGGATAACGGCCTGACAGCTCTCAAAAATCGAGAGTCCTTCGAGTGCCCTTGGGAGGACGCTTGAAAACTGCAGGCTGGGCGTTTAGGAGTTTCGAGAGCTACTCTCGAAATGAGGTTCGGACAACTCTCGAAAGAGTTTTCGGGCCACAACTCTCAAGTGGCTGTGTGGCGACAGCTCCGACCCTTGAAAACCGGGTTTCAAGAGTGGTGTGGCGAGGCCCTTAGTCAGTCGTTTGCTGTGGCCGACGGGACACTGTGTAGGATGGTTTGTTGAAAGTGTCGTTTCATCTCTTTAAGAGCCTCTTTCCACTACTCGCCATCCGCCACAAACAGTGGCAAGATTTGGCGAGGCCGAAAACTGCATATTTCTGGCGGAAAACGGATCTTGGTTCCATTACATCGCCGCCGCCACGTGCCCTGTGGTTGCTGTCCCGGCCTGCTCCCCGGACTGTGGCGGATGGCGAGCTAATGGAACGGTGGCCGCCTTCTCCTCACCATGTACTCGGACTGTAAATCACTCCAGGTGCAGCTAAAACTTGCCAACACTAGGGGACAAGGCAGGTCGACTGTCAGGATGGCTGTGTCAGGGGCAATGGCCACACAAAGCATTTCGCAGAGGGGTGAGGAGTAGAGCATCCACGAAGGGCCGTTGCAGGCAGGGGAAATGGAAAGCCTTGGCGGCACATCGCCAAGTGATTTCACATCCAAATTCTGACAGCCTCCATTTCGTGGCTATTGGCGATGCAGTGGAACCAAGTCGCGTCCGCCATGCATGGCGGATGGCGAGTAGTGGAACGAGGCCCTAAGAATACAAGCACACGTTAGCGAGTGGCTGTTAACAGTGGTCGCGTGAAGCTCCAAGGATGTGATGAGGCACTACTCCTCTAAAGGTTCCCAAGCCAGACTTGAGTCCGTTCTCAGGTCCCAGGTTCAATAGGGAAAACAGTTAAGTAGCCCTGGTCCAAATGAAGCCGAAACAGAGAGACAAAAAGCATTAAAGGGAGGGATGGTGCGTCCTTCTTCCTTCTCACCTAAGCTAGTAGCAGGTGAGTGCCCTCTGTGGAATACCAGGGGCCAGAAGGATTCCCGGCGGTCGGGGTTCACTTCGAAGTTCGACACGTGATACAGTGTGAAAGACTATCAGACAGGACGGCCTCTCGGGCCTTTTTTTATTGTGATAATAGTATTACGGGGAACCCCGTAGCAGCCACATCCGTGCTCAAGCCTCCAACAAGGGAACATGCGGGAGCTGCACCCACCAGCAGGTGTGATACCTTCTACAGCAGGTGGGTGATACAGACAAGGGGTCAGCCGGTAGCATCAGGACCGAGCTTCTTCGATGGCCTTTTTTTTTCCAGTCGTGTGCCGCGCTGCTGAAAAAAGAAAAAACAGCCCCATGGGTGGGCCACGGCCGAGATGTCTCGCCCACACCCCAGATTGGCCACAGCCAAGATTTTATGAACCGGGGGGGAATGCGGCATGCAAAAGAAGGAAAAAAAAAAAAAAAAAAAAACATGGCATGACCGGTGTAGTCCCAGTTGATGTATAGATGCTCCTCAGAATCCTAGATTAGAATTGCTGCTTGCCCCAGGTAGACACCCCCTGGATTCAGTCCTCAATCCTGTTCCCCACGGAGAGAACTTGGTATATATGCAGTTTAGAATCTGAAGGCCTTGTAGCAGTATTCAGGGGACGCTGGACTCGTTTTCCAGCTGTACTTTTCTTCATAAGCCAATGCTCCCAGTAATCAATAACCTGTTCCTTGAACTTCCATCCGGGTAGACTGTGAGGTCCCTGGCCCCGACATTTTCCACCATTCTATAAGGGACGCTGGGCCCGGTTCCCAGCATGTGCTGCTCCTCACAAATAGATCCGACTCGCTGTTTGGAAAACAACAAGAAACAAAAAAAACAAAAACTCGGGGCCTACATTATCAACGGTGACAACAAAGCGTATGGCTCTTTTGGTGGTTATTCATTGGACGGCCACCAATGTGGCACAAAAAAATTGTCTTCCAGAACAGGTACAGTGCCTCCCCCCCTGACAGTGTCGTAGAACTCGAAGGGAGGTCTTTCTGGCACCTGTCATAAGTGCTCCAGCCATTTCATTGGGTGCAGACTGCTCTCCTCCCATGCACCCATGTTCAAAGGCCTCTTGTCCCAGAACAGTGCCGGTTGCAACGGGGATACAGTATCGAATCATCAAAACTCTGCTCCTCCCAATTTCGCGGACAAGATCGGACTCTTTAGGACTCTTGAAAACTTGTACCACCAGTGTGTTTCCCATATACCACAACTTTCAGAGGCCCGAAACGCGACAACCCCCAGCGGCCCGCCCCCAAAAGTTGCAGTGGAGCCGCATCTCTGAAAAATAGTGGGAAGCTTACAACCCCGATTCTGTGTTTCTGGTTGTTGACCCCTTGTATGTACATCGAGTAAGGATTCTGAAGGAAGATTCGTTGCTAGTGAGACCTTGCCTCTTGCAGAGTCTTGTTTCTATGGTCAATGCAACGGCCTCCTAGGGGTCCACCTCCCTCAGGCTGCAGGATGCTAACCTCCCTTTGAGCCACCAGTACCTTTCCCCGCTTGAAATCGAAGATGCGACAGGTAACGCAGTAAGCCAGCGGGGGAAGCTCGCCACCGCCCCCGGGACATATGGGAAAGGCACTGTCTGGTTGAGTTCCCCAAAAACAGAATACGTGTTTAACATTTCCATTCTTAATGTAACAGCGCTAAGGCGTGCACCTCAGCCAGGCTGCAGGCTGCAGGTTTCGTAAGTTCCCTTTGAGTGCCCATGCCTTGGGAGGTCTGACAAGAACCCCCAGGGCTAATGGTCCAATTTGTTTTTGAAAAAAGCAAGAAACGAAAGGGGACTATGGTGGTTCTGGCATGCATGAAAGGAGAAAGAGGACGGCAGCACAATTTAAGAAAGGGGGAAACTTGGCGGGAGTTACAAAAACGAGGTATAATTGCACTGTGGGCCAAGATACAGTTTCAAATTGCATTTCCGGCAATGTATAGAACCCAGCTCTCTGGCCAGTTAGGGTGTTCAGAGTGCAATTGCAAAGTGAATCTTTCCCCATAGTGCAATTATAACTAGTTTTTGCGACTCTTCAGAAGTTACCCCTCTGGTCAGGGACCTATGAAAAGCAGTCAGTCCTTGGGGACATCCGTTAGAATTGGAACGATACAGAGAAGATTAGCATGGCCCCTGCACAAGGATGACAGGCATAAATAGAGAAATGGTCCGAAGTCTTTGTCCTTCGGGACATCCGTTAAAATTGGATCGATACAGAGAAGACTAGCATGGCCCCTGCAAAAGGATGACACGCATAAATAGAGAAATGGTCCCCGAAAAAAAGAAAAAGAAAGCAGTCTACTCAGCCACATGGAAGGCCCCAGCAGAGGCCCTGGCCCAGTTGTTAGGGGCAGATCCCACTTCTTATAAGCAGGGCACTTTTAGGCAGAATTCGGGATCCCACTTCTTTCCATGGAACTCGGATCCCGTCCAGGAATGTCGGGGAATTGGAAACATTGTTGTACGTGGAGGCGCCAGCGTGATTGCAGGGGTGGTAGTTCTACCGATTTTCGAAAGAGGCCTACCCCGTGCCCTGGACTGTGAAAGAAGGAGCCCTTGTTTTTTGCTTCCTTTAGGGTTGATCCCACTAATTTCCGTTTTCGTAAGGCGCAAAAGGTGGAGGCGCAGCGGAATGGGAAAGAAAAATGCGACCTTACATGCCCTATATCTGCGGAACTTTTCCGAACGGAGAGGCACTATCTTGTGACGCCTCGAGGATCCAACGGTCTACAAATCAGGGGGGAAAAAAAGGAAGAAAAAAACAAGGGCTCCTTCTCTCACAGTGCTGGGTACGGGATGGGCCTCTTTAAAAAATCCGTAGAACTACCGCCCCTGCAATCACGCTGGCGCCTCCACGTACGACAATGTTTCCACTTCCCCGACATTCCTGGATGGGATCGGAGTTCCATGCAAAGCAGTTGGATCCTGAATTCTACCTAAAAGTGCCCTGCTTATAAGAAGTGGGATCTGCCTCTGTTTTTTTTTTTCCCCTGATGCGCAGGCCATGGGATCCTCGAGGCGCCACGACGAGGCGCCACGAGATAGTGCAGCTCCCCTAGGTGAAGTTCCGCAGAAGTAGGGCATGTGGGGTCGCATTTTTCTCTCACGTTCCGTGCGCTGCGCTTCCATCTTTCGCGGGGCTTTTAGGGGCGAATCCGACTTCTCTTCTTTTCGGGGAGAACCAAAAAGAACCCCTTTGGGCGGGCCCGCCCCTTGAGGAACGGAAAAGTGATTTCGGATCCCACTTGGCCGACAATAGCGGGACTTTTACGATTTTGGCGGCGGCCCAAAGGGAAAGGAACGTGCTGTCAGGAAGGGCAGTAGGAGATGTCGTACGGTAAACAAGACGAGATGAAATCCGTTTTGGGCAGGGCCACCGTACCTTCCAACGTGTCCACCCGCTGATTCGTTCGACGTTCGAATCCACGTTTTGGTGACTGAATTAGTGTTAAGAAAAGTGGCCCGTGGTCCAGCGTCTACCCCTCGGGCCCCTGGGCCGTTGTCCCCTTGGAACGGACTGCTGCTCCCAGTTTGGCACATCAAGGGTCGCAGCCCGACCCCACGTCTCTCTCTCTCTCTCTCTCTCTCTCTCTCTCTCTCTCTCGTGCGCGCGCGCGCGTGAGAGAGACAGAGAGGTTCTCCGACGCGCGTGCGCGGGCGCGTGCGTGAGAGTGTGTGTGTGTGTGTTGATGATGATGATGGCACCCGATTTCCTCGTCAACGACCTTTTCTTGTTTTAGACATCATAATGATGATGATGGCGGTGGTGATGATGATGATGAAGATGATGGTAGTGATGATGATGATGATGATGATGACCACGACACAGGCGCTGATGATGATGATGAATGATGGTGGTAGTGGTGGTGGTGGTGGTGGTGATGATGATGATGATGATGATGATGATGATGATGATGATAACGACACAGGTGTTGCTGCTGCTGCTGCTGCTGCTGCTGATGATGATGATGATGATGACGACGACGAAGACACAAGCGATGATGATGATGCCACCCCTTTTGTTTTGTGGCCTGGTACATGGGCCGGTGGTGAACCCGCGTTCGAGCTTATGACCTGATGAATAGCAGGTTTCTCTCTGTCATGCTATGTGGCTCGACTGCATGAAAGCACCTCTTCTCAACCCCTCTCTTTCCCCCCTCCCCCCAAAAAAAAGAAACAAAGAAGGAACCCCTCCATACGACACGGCAGCTTCGCAGCTGTGTTAAGAAACAGAAATGGAAAGGGAAAAAACGAATCTATTGGCGGGGAGTTTTGTGTACGTGCGTGGATTGTCGGACAGTGGGCCTCGCCCCAGTACGCACCAAATGTGCAAAATGAGAATGAATCTTCCGCTAGAACATGGAAAGATACATCGCCATGTTTTTTGTCTTTTATGGACCTGGAGAATCATGGAGCGAGGCCTGCCTGGCCCGGTATCTGCATTAGAACTTTGTTTATTTCCTCACAATGTAGTTGGGTCCTCTGAGACCCGTGATTACTTGAGCGTCACGTACTAGATCTGATACGTTTGAGTTCTGTGTATTCTTCGTTTTCTTCATCATAGTCATTGCGATGATGGTGATCGTTATCATCATGATGGAGATAATGATGATAATGATGATGAGGCGGTGCGTCTCTTTTCATTGTTCGCGGGCATTTTTGGGGTTAAGTTGGTAATGCTACATGCGCTCGGTGTTGAACCCAGATTCGAGCTCATGGCCTGTTAACTAACAGGTCTCTCTATCTGTCATGCTATGCGGCTGTCCTGTGGGAAAACCCCTTCTTAATCCAATCCCTCTCACAATCCCACAGCCAAAAGATGCGTCACGGGCGCTTCGCCAATTCGGCGAAAGTAACTTCCTAATGTTTTACCAACTTGGAGGGAGCATGGCGGAAAGAGCAGATAACAGCAGAGCTGCTAAATTCGTGCTATCGCTTTTCTCCCATTTGGCAGCGCAGTTCTGCTGTACTCTGCTCTTCCTCCTATGCTCCCTTCTCTGATATTTGTGCTCTTCTCTCCCCTTCTCTGCCATTCTCATACACAAGTCGACAAAAAAATAAGCATGACTTTTGAGGTTGAACCTACTTATCCATCAAAGAGAGAGAGAGAGAGAGAGAGAGAGAGAGAGAGAGAGAGAGAGAGAGAG